TGTCTTATAGGAGAAAATAATTAAGTGAAAGTGATATAATTCAGTGGCATTCGTAAATGAATATATTGAGTTAATCACCAATAGGATCTGTAAACATTTGAAAATATCACTATGTGGGTGAGTGTATGTGTGTGTATAAGACATTATTTATTCAATCCAAGCCAATGCATAACATATTTGAGACTTCAAACCTCTGGTGATAACTGCAAAGCCCCTGTGATCCACCAGAATCTCCATATACTGGCTGGGAACCTCTCAGTATCCATAGGGCCATCTCTAGGATGCTTACCTAGACAGTATCTCCTATGAGGAAATTTAGGAATGAGTGAGAGGGATGGTCTTAATCAGTGATGCTCAGAACTTGCTTTTCACTGCCTTCTCTCCCTGAAACTTCTCTTAGGATGTCATTCAGCTAGTTCGTCCTGTCTTAGGTTGTTCTCTGCCAGACATTTACCTGTCATTGGCAGCTGCCACAGTGATGTGCCTCTCACTTCTTTACAAGATCTCGTTTTACAGATAAATTACAGGGAGAAAAGCTTTCCTTTTTTTTTACTTCTCATATACATTGTATTGATATGTTCTATATGCTTTAAAAAATTAAGTTACATGAAACATTTGGATATAATAAAAGCTAATAAACAGGAATTCCCAGAAAGTTTCTGATCTAAATACTTAGAACTACATTTTCCTTTTAAAGTTTTTTTTTTTAACTAAGCAGTATTTGAAGAAATAATAGATGCTAAGAATAATGCAACATGTGAAAAGAGATTGTGTTTATTCAGACTAGAGGGAAAGGCCATAAACATCGTATTTCGTAGACTGCCAGTAAAACGCAATTACTTTTTTCCTGTTGATTGTGAACAGTCAAATTAAAATACATTTTTCATGTCCTGAAAATTATACATACGGTTACCTCCATTTCTGGCAATATGGTAGACTCCATTTCCTGGAAAAGATAGCCCGTACAATGCTATCAAATGCTGGATAAAATAAAGCAAACAGCAAATATCTGAATGTGTAAAAAAAAAAAAAAGTAAAAGTGATCTCCAGGACCCAACAAACAAAACTGAAACCCAACTCCAGAGTGGTAAGGTCAAGTTGAGGATGCAGCACCTTGCAGGGTGTTTACAGTTTCGGTAAACTCAAGACTTGGTTTTTAATGGTGATGGAAAAGGAGACAAGGTCTGGGCCAGATGGAACCACATCCCCCCATAATTCTGGGACCCCAGAAAGACTATGCTCAAAATGAAATCAGAGGCTAGAAAAACAATCTACTTTTGGCAAACAGAAGTGCTCGGGATGTTTAACTGTCTTGAAGTAATTGCTGGCTAGAGAAAGAGTTCTCCTTAGAGTTTGTAACCACAGTCCTTCCCTCAAGTGTGTTTGGAGTTCAGCCTTAAAATGCTTGCCTGACCAGAAAATCCTCGGGCAAGAAGTAAACCTAAAATGGTCTTTGATTGATAGCATCCTGGAGTGCCTGGCAGAAGCAAACACAAATGCTGTCTGGAGGGACTTACCCTCAACCTGGGGGTCACAGAAGTTTAACAGATAAAGACCACCAAACATGAGTTCATGATTTCAAATTCCAGAAACACCCAAGGAAACAAGAGCCATGAGCACGAGACAGGAGAAACCACAAACAGCAGAACTAGACTTCCACAAAGCACATAAGATAATGATTTATCAGATGAAGAAAGTTGTATAAATGCCTAGAATATTTTTAAATAGGCATAAGCAGCATGAATAGAAAGTAAGATTGTATCAAAAATTTAAGCATAATTGAAAAGAACCAAATAAAAAGTTCTGGAAATTAAAAATACGGTATAGGAAATTGAAAACTCAAAGTGATCTTGTTAGGTAGCAAGTTATTCATACCTGAATTGAATTGATCAACTGATCCTAAAGAAATTACATAGAGTGCAATACAAAGACGTGGAAATGGCAAAGGCAGGTTAAGAGACATGAAAAATAGAAAGATCTAATTGGGGTTGTAGGCTTTCATTCAATGACAAATGAGAAGCAAAGCCACTTTCAGTCAAAATCAGAATTTGCTATCAACAGATCCTTGGAAATTCAAATATGTCAGAAAGCATGAAAAGTAAAGAAATTGTTAAAGTGTGTAGGGCTAAACCACACTTGATTGTATAAAATAATAATGATTCCATACCAGGCATTAAAAATCAAGATACAAATGAAATACTGCTACACATAACATGTAAGACAGAGCATTCTACAGGGCATGTTAATTAATACGAGGTAAAATAAATAACTTTAATTGTGTTAAATGCACATGGTAAAAAAAAATTTAAGGATAACCAGTAAAAGGATAGAAATAGAGTTTGTAAGTTCTGTAATAATGCAGGGGGGAGAGGAAATCCAAAACATGAAAGAAAATATAGGGGAAAAAACCTTAGAAAACAAGCAAGATAAAAGCAGTACACAAAATAAAATGTTAGAAATTTATGTACACAAAATTAAATGTTAGAAATTTATTTAAATATTATTAATAATGATAAATATACTATTGTATTTTATTTATTATAATGACAGTTAAATTCTATTATAACAATATAATTTTTAAGTGATAATAAATATTAAAAAGCAAAGTTCACTATCTTAAGAAAAGTGCCATTGGTTTGGGTTAAAAAAATTGAGTCGTATGCTGTTTACAACAGACGCTTATCATACCGAAGGATATATAGACTGTTTGAAAGTAAAAAGATGGATATACCAGGCAAATTCTAATTTTATTTTTTTCCTCTTTTTTTAAACTGAGATATAGTTGACATATAACTTTGTATAAGTTTAAGGCATGCAACCTGTTGATTTGATACATTTGTATATTATAGTATGATTACATCATAGAGTTAGCTAACACCTTCATCATGTCATGTAATTATCATTTCTTTCTTTGCAGTGAGAAAATTTAGGATCTAGGCTTTTAGCAACTTTTAGCAACTGCATACTACAGTGCAGTTGACTATATTCACAATGCTGTGCATTAGATCTCCAGAACTTACTCATCTTCTAACTGCAAATTTGTACCCTTTGACCAACATCTCAACAAGTCTCCCAAACCCCAGCAGACACTAATTTTAAAAAGCTTTTATACCTATATTAATACCAACTTAATTTTAAGGTAAAAAGGATGATTACAGAAGAAGAAGGTCATTTCAAAATGATAAAAGGTCCTATTTTCCAGGAGTAAAATAGTGTTAAACTTACATATACTCACCGTGTAGCTAATGAGTTTCAAAATTCGTAAACTACAGTGATAAAATTATAAGGATGTACTGGATATTCGAGTGTAAAATGGTTTGTTCACTTTGTAGAGCTACTTGGCCATTCCTAGAAAAGTTGAAAGTGCAGTTCCACTTCTAGATATACATAGGGAATACACGTAGGGAATTATGCTCATCTATGTTCAAGTATACATTTATAAGAATATTCAGAACAACATTATTTGTAAGAGTGAAAACTTGGGAAAAACTTAACTATCCATCACTGGAGAATGTAGCCATTGAATGTAATACTATACTCACTAAGAATGAATGAACCGGAGCTCATGTTCACAAGAATGTTCCATTTTCTTAAGCTAGCTGATGGGTACACATATGTGTGTTTGATTGTTTACATACTGTTTTGTAGGTAGGTCTGAAAATTTTCATAATATCTTTTAAATACCAAGGAGAAAATATAAATAGAACTTGTCTACGTTAACATGAAATATAAAACATATTTACACACTACCTCAATTCAAAAAGTGTCTATAACAGTATTTTTGAAGCTATATTTGAAAAAACACTGCAATTTTACTTTAAACAAATCTGTTTATCAGTGCACTATTTAGTAATCAGTGGCCTGCTGTTTTGATGAAACAATGTTAATTAATTTATTTTGCAGTTTATTCCAAGCTAAAAAGATGGTGATGTAAGTTCCTGGTATCAAAGATGGCTAAGGAATGTGGATAATTTTTTCCTTTGCCTATGGATATATTTCTTTTCCTTAAGAGTCTATGACCAGCTGTAAAAAAATGCCTCATTTTAAAAAGTAATTTAGATTTTATAAAAGAACATCCTACCTAGGAAAAAAGATTGGACAATAGAAATGCTAACATATATGGAATCTAAAAAAAAAAAAAAGCTTCTGAAGAACCTAGGGGCAGAGCAGGAATAAAGGCGCAGAGGTAGAGAATGGACTTGAGGACATGGGGAGGGGGAAGGGGAAGCTGGGACGAAGTGAGAGAGTGGCATATATACACTACCAAATGTAAAATAGATAGCTAGTGGGAAGCAGCCACATAGCACAGAGAGATCAGCTCGGTGCTTTGTGACCACCTAGAGGGGTGGGATAGGGAGGGTGGGAGGGAGACACAAGAGGGAGGAGGTATGGGGATATCTGTATATTTATAGCTGATTCACTTTGTTATAAAGCAGAAACTAACACAACATTGTAAAGCAATTATACTCCAATAAAGATGTTAAAAAAAAAAGGAAATGAAAATACTTAAAGCATAGTGGAGCTCTAACTTCTTAAATGTACCCCCAAAATCTGTTGAACATTTGGTTCTGAGCTTTCATTCCCAGGAATCCCTTTGAGACAGTGAACAGTTTGCACCATCTAAACCAGGGGTCCCAAACTGTCTTGCTCCACGAAGCCTTTATGGCAGGCACTCCGAAACCAAGAGAAAACATAAGTTCAGTTCAGTAAGTAGTTAGATCACAGCAATCATGCAGAAGCTCCCTTTGCACAGATAGGACTGCATCGAAAGAAATGTTGTGCAATCTAGTGTTGGAACTGTGAACCACCTGGTAGTTTTAAGACTACCCAAGAGATTTTGAGTACTCCTGTTTTCCCCTGAAAATTTAAAATAATTCATGACACCACTGTGAATGTGCTGCAGCACCTTGCAGAGCTAGAGAAAACACCCTCCCACGTACACCTTCATAAGGAGGGCTCTGCATTCACTCAAATTCATGGTCTCTTTTCACTGACTGCAGGAGAAACCATACAAGTGCTCAGACTGCAGCAAGGCCTTCAGCCAGAAGCGAGGCCTGGATGAGCACAAGAGGACGCACACCGGAGAAAAGCCTTTTCAGTGTGATGTGAGTTTGGCTTCCCTTTTCTTTCCCTCGTGTCCTCCAGTAACGTCTGGTAACAGGAGATATGTATGTGTCTGTGGGTGTATCCATGCATCTATTTGTGCATGTATGAGAGAGAAAGAGAGAGAGAGAGAGAAAGAGAGAGAGAGAGTGTGTGCTTTACAGTGCTGATCTGTGTCTATTAATGTCTTGTGCTCTTATACCTTTTGATTGCATAATCCATGTAACCACATTGTAGCAATGTTTTTTATCCTAGTTTCCTGGCAGCAAATGAACTCTGATTTTCTTTAAGACATGCCTGTACCCTGTTTTAATGCAATTGAGTTGTTCTTCCAAGGTATAAATACATGATGATTCAAGACAGCTTTCATGTGTCTGTCCAAGTCTTTGACAGGTTAATGATAGTTAAACCAGAGATTTAACTGGTTATAGATACTATTTATTTTGTTAAAGCCAAACAATTTCTAAAATATGCATAAACTCCTTTGTTTAAAAAACGCCACTGCTAATTGTTTAGATTTTCTGCTTATGACATTTGAAGTGAAATGAAATTATCGACATAGTTCACATTATTAATGAAAGGACAGAAATACTACCATTGTCAGTAAAATTAATTGGATCATTGATTAATTTAGAGAAAAATGGTTCACGATGAACAGCATCACCATTCTGTGTAAGATTGATAGTTGACAGAAAATTGACACAGATGTTAGGGAAAGCACTTACTTCTTGTTCTTATTTCTAACACAAAAATAGCAAAAAAAAAAAAGAGTATTAATGTAGCTGAATGTAAGAAGAAACATTAAAGTTGTAATCTGTGAAATTGCACAGTACATAGTTCTCTTTAAATGTTGAGGGAAACTTGAGTACTCAGTCCCCTTGGCATATCCCAAAGGATAAAGGATCGAGTAAGCAGTCCATATGAAAGGAAACTCACAAACATAAGATGTTTTCCTTGTCTTTCCATGAAACTTTGGTGGTAAGGTTAAGGCAACAACGTACTCCCAGTGGGTCTACTCATAAAAATACCTTTATGAACAGTGAACTTCTTTAAGGAGAGAACTACTTGTAGAGAAAGAAATGTACACATGGAGAGCTCTATCCTGAACTGGAGGTACAGCCAGTTTCATAATTTAATGGATTGAACGTTCAATCCATTGGTGCTTTTATTGGAAACATTTTCATAAAAGCAAAACTTTTTTTGGATTATTTAATTGCACAACTACACAAATAAGTGATGGGAGATAGAAATTAAATATTAACTGTGTATGGACATCTTCCTTCCATCACGCTCTACCTGACTTTTATTTTGCTGAATATTTTTGTGGACTGCTTCCTTACACAGACTGGACCATGATGTTATTTTTAAAAAATTATGTTACAAGCATGATTTTTTCTATCTACTTCTATCCCATTTACTTCTGTCAGATGTTCAAATCTCTCTGAGCCTTATCTGCAGTCCGGACTGGTTTGTTGAGGAGAGATCCAAGTTTAATGCCTCCAAAACTTCCCTAAAATGCAGCCTGGTCAGGGAACCGGCTGTCTGTTCCAAAATCTTATTCTCTTAACCTACCCATTCCAGAGAGAAGTCATCCTTTCTCACCCCACTTCCAGTCTATCTCCTTCCTAAATGGTTCTCAAATCCATTACTCTCAGTTTCCATTCCCACTAGCAATGCATAGCCTGGACCCTCACCTTACTATTTCTTATTACATCCTATCTTATTACATTTCTTATTACATCCTATAGATGTAATAATCCCCCACCAAGGTGATTTTTTAAAAATTGAAATGAAATTCACATAACATAAAATTAACCATTTTAAAGTGAACAATTCAGTGGCATTTAGTACATTGACGGTGATGTGCAGCCATCACCTCTGATTCCAAAACATTTTTGTCACCCCCAAATAAAGTTCCATACCCATTAAACAGTTACCCCTCACTCTCCCCAGACCCTGGCCGGCACCAGTCTGCTTTCATTTCTATAGGTTTACCTATTCTGGATATTTAATATAAATGAATCATACGATATGTGACCTTTTGTGACTGGCTTCTTTCACTTAGCACAGTGTTTTCAAGGATAATCTACATTGCAGCTTGTATCAGTACACCATTACTTTTTTGGCTGAATGATACTCCATTTTATGTATACAACACAGTTTATCTGTTCATCAGCTGATGAACATTTGGGTTGTTTCTACCTCGTGGCTGTTGTGAACAGTGCTGAGACAAACGTGTGTATACAAGTTTTAAGTACCTGTTTTCATTTCTTTTGGGTATATACCTAGGAGTGGAATTGCTGTGTCCATATAGTGATTCTATGTTTGACTTTTTTTTTTTTTTTTTGTGGTATGCGGGCCTCTCACTGTTGTGGCCTCTCCCGTGGCAGAGCACAGGCTCCAGACGCGCAGGCTCAGCGGCTATGGCTCACGGGCCTAGCCGCTCCGCAGAAAGTGGGATCTTCCCGGACCGGGGCACGAACCCGTGTCCCCTGCATTGACAGGTGGACTCTCAACCACTGCGCCACCAGGGAAGCCCTATGTTTGACTTTTTGAGGAGCTGCCATACTGCTTTTCATAGTAGCTGTACCATTTTATATTCCCACCAGGAATGCACAAGGATTCCAATTTCTCCTCATCCTTGTAAACACTTATTATTTTCTGTTTTTTAAAATTATAGTCATCTTAATGGATGTGAACTGGTATATCATTGTCGTTTTGATTTACATTTCCCAGAGGATTAGTGATGTTGAACATCTCTCCGTGTACTTGTTTGTCAGCCATTTGTGTATCAGCTTTGGAGAAATGTCTATTCAAGTCCTTTGCCCATTTTAAAATTGTGTTGCTTGTCTCTTGTTGAGTGTGAGATACTGGATACTAGACCCTTATCAGATATGATTGCAAATATTTTCTTTCATTCTATATGTTCTCTTTTTGCTTTCTTGATAATGTCCTTTGATGCACAAAACGTTGCAGTCTTGATGAAGTTTAATTTACCCATTTTCTCCTTCTCTTCATGCATTTGGTGTCATATCTAAGAATCTATTGCCAAATTCGAGGTCATAAAGATTTACCCTTACATTTTTTTCTAAGAGATTTATAGTTTTAGCTCTTACATTTAGGCCTTTGATCCTTTTTGAGTTGAACTTTTGTATATGGTGTGAGTTAGAGGTCCATTCTTTTGCATCTTTTAAGTCTTTTACCATTGAATATGATGGTAGATGTGTTTTTTATGAATGTCCTTTATTGTGTTGAGGAGGTTCTCTTCTAGTTCTCTGAATATTTTTATCAAGACAGGGTTTTGAATCTTGTCAAATGCTTTTCTGAATCACTTGAAATTATCTTTGTTTTTCCTTTTGTCCTGTTAATGTGGTGTGGTACATTGTTTGATTTCTTTTTATGTTGAACTACCATTACAGTCCTAGGATAAGTACCACTTGTTCATGGCTTATAATCCTCTTAACATGATCTTGGATTCAGCTTGTTAGAGGCTTTTTTTTTTTTTTTTTTTGCGGTACATGGGCCTCTCACTGCCGTGGCCTCTCCTGTTGCAGAGCAACAGGCTCCGGACGTGCAGACTCAGCAGCCATGGCTCACAGGCCCAGCCACTCCGTGGCATGTGGGATCCTCCCGGACCGGGACATGAACCCGTATCCCCTGCATTGGCAAGCGGACTCTCGATCACTGCGCCACCAGGGAACCCCCTGTTAGAGTTTTTTGTTTTGCTTTGTCTTTTTTTGTTTGTTTGTTCATTTGAAGATTTTTTCCTATATATTCATAGGGGTATTAGTCTGTAGTTTTCTTTCATTGTAATATCTTTGTCTGGCTTTGGTATCAAGGCCGTGCTGGCATCACAGAATTAGGAATTAGGAAGTGTTCCCTCCTTTTCTATTTTTGGGAAGAGTTTAAGAGGATTGGTGTTAATTCTTCTTTAAATGTTTGTTAGAATTCATCAATGAGTTCTGGACTTTTCTTTGTTGGGAGGTTTTTTGATTCAATTTCTGTACTTGTTATAGGTCTTCTGAATTTTTCTGTTTCTTCTTGAGTCTGTTTTGGTAATTTGTGTATTTCTAGGAATTTGTCCATGGCAACTAGGTTATCTAATTTGTTGGCATACAGTTCATAGTGTTCTCTTGTAATCGTTTTTATTTCTTTGGGTTTGGTAGTAATATCACAATGTGACTTTTTAAATGTAAACTCAGTCATGTGCTTCTCTATGATGGCTTCTCACAGCCTGTAAGGTAAAATCTGCCTTCCTACTTGACTGAAAAATTATTATGGTCTTTCTCAATTCTTACTATTTTATATCTTAATAATCCTATCTGTCAGTACTCTGCAGTTTCTTTGCACTAACACTTAGAGTTTCCTGAAGCAGTGATACCGTTTCATATCTGTCTCTTGTTCCAGGTACCTTGCATACACTGTTCCCTCTGCCTAGAAAGTCTTTTTCTGCTCCCGTTCCCACTGTCTACCATATATATATGACATTTGAGTGGCATTTGAGCAAAACTGTAAAGAAGAAACTGATACATATCCATTTCAGTTCTTTACAATTTTGCTCAAATGCCACCTCACTCATCAACACTACTCTAACACCTTAGACCCAGTCGTTCTATGCTATGCAGCTCCCCCAGCACGCCATACCTATTCAACTTTAAATATCTTTAGCTACTACACATATGGTAGATGACTTCCAAATCTTTCTTTCCCTGCCTAGATTTCTCTTTGAACTCTAGACAGATATTGTGAGGTGCCTATGAGACATCTCCCCTGTATTCCAGATTGAAATCATGATCTCCCAGCCTTCTCAAGCTCTCAACATGTTTCCTTTAAATACCCATCTCTCTGAGAACTCCACTGTCTCCAAATAGCCCAAGCCAAAGGTCTGAGCCTCATGCCAGACACCTCTCTTTCTCTGAGGCACTGCTTCTGTAGTTAGAAAGACACAGCGATCCATGGTTTGTATATAGTCTCTGATTTCACTACAGTCCAGAAATATGTA